GCAAAGAAACACAAAGAGACGCAACGAAACACAAAGAGACGCAACGAAACGCAAACAGACGCAACGAAACGCAAACAGACGCAACAAAACACAAAGAGACGCAACGAAACAGAAAGAGACGAAACGAAAGGCGACAAACCGACTACAAAGTAATTTAGTAATTTCCCTGAGGTCTTGTACCGAAGGGATGAATAAAGTTTTATTCTATTCTATTCTATTTCTAAACAAATTAAACTTGAATTACTCAACGAATGCAGCTCCTTCAGAGTAAAAGCACGAAGCTCCTGATTGGTGGAACAGAAACCTTTCCATAAATCGGTCTCTGCCTTTTAAAGTCATCAAGTTTCTGCTTTCGTTTCAATTACCAGCAGAAGATCTGAAGCTGATACGACTGTTGGAGGTGCAGCGATGATAAAATCTGTCCCGAGTCCCGAATGAAACCACGGATCAGTCAGAAACCGTAAAAACAGAACGACTCGTGGTTCAACCAAAAAAATCAACCAAACGAAAACTTAGAATTCAAAAATTCACCAACAAACCATCATTTCCACCAATAAGCCGTTTGAGCTCATCGACACGTGAGGAGAAGTTTTAAAGATGCATTCGGCACAAAAACAACATCACAGTGAAGAGAAAAGAGCTGCAGAGGGAAGAACGAGGAAACCATGAAGACAAACAAGCCAACAGTCAAGAGACGTGAGCCCACAAGCTGCCGGTGTTCAGAGGGTTAATAAGGACGGACATAAACACAACAAGTGTAAACTCTGCACACAGGAGCTCTTGATCTGGATGGACGTGAAGGTTTCGCTGGTTTCTGTGGTGAAGAAAAAGGAAACCAGCAGCAGGACGTGGAGCGACACCAAACATGAGACATGGAGGACAGACCGACGGACGGACGGATGGACGTGAAACATGACAGGTTAATGATGGAACACAGACAGACGGGTCTTTACCGAGTCCAGGTCGGGACCATAAGGCCGGTTTTGGCGGGGAAACGCCCCGGTGAAGGTGTCGGTTTACTGCAGGGAGAGAAGCAGCGTTACGAAGAGAAGAACCGGAACCGACAACCAACCGAGTCCCTTAAACAGCAGCACAGACCCAGTGTGACAGATTGAAACCCACAGCGGCCTGATCCATGAAATCACAACATTCACCTGCATGTTCGCTGCAGTTTGATCTGAACTGTTTGTTTACAATGTTCCCATAAAATCAGTTCTACTGAAACGTATCATGACTTCACAGATGTCATATTGAATCACAGTATTTGACGTATATTATAGTATAATTACAGTATTTGTGTGATTTTACGTTGTTATCTGTCCTTCAACAAAACGGTTTGGGTTCCAAAAATTCAACATGTTTTTCAGGAACTCTGAACTTGGGATCATTTTTTCAGGACGGTTTCACAGTTCAGAAGCTTCGTCTGGACTCGTTTGGCTGATCAGCTCCAACAGACGCTGCTGACGTCCACAGCAGACGTCTGAGACACATTCAGGGTTTAAACAGTTCAGACAACATTCGGTGAAGCAGCAGAACCTCCCGTCGGTTTGACTCATTTATAAAAGACTCTTAATGTTTCATTAAAAAACATTTTCAAACAACAAACGTTAACTTCCTGCCACCTGAAGAACCAGCAGCACCGGTCCGGACTGTTGTCATTAATGACAGAGCATCTCCTGGTTCCCCAACAGTCTGTAACCGGACCAGTCCTGTGTGTTATCACCTGAATGTCAATCAGTTCTGACCTGCATCACGTCACAGTAATCAGATTACTTTTAGTGGACCAGCAGAACATTTCCCCTGACCAACTCTTTGTCAGGTTTATGTTGAAATTCAGGCTCCAAACTAGAACCTCAAAGAACCACAGTGAGTCCAGCTGTGGTCTCCATCAGTCCACCTGCATGAACATGGTTCTACAACGAGGTGAGAGCAGCAGAACCTTCTCAGTTCTGGACCTCTGGACTGTGTCTATCTATGTCTGCATCACGGCTACACATGGAGAAGACCTGAACAGAGGAGGAGAAACATCTGACTGAGAGACTGGACAAAGATGGAAAAGGATCCAGAAGATCAGTGAGCAGCTAGAACCCAGTGCAGCCCAGTGTGAGCAGGAACCAGGAGGTCCAGAAGGAGCCACAGCAGCACTGATCAGGACTGCAGTGGTCGTCCTCCTACAATGACTCCACGGACAGTCAACTACTGTCACTATGGAGCTGTGGACACCAGACAAAGGCAGCTGCTTCAGACTTGGCACAGGGCTGATCAATGGAGACCAGAGTTAGTGTGAAGCTCACACAGTGTGAAGGACACTTCAGAACATCAGCCTCTATGGACGGAGGACCAGAACTAAACCTGGCTGCTGCTCACAGCTAAACTTCCACATCAAAGTTCACCAGAGAACATGAACAGAAGCCTGATGGATGCTGGAGAACATCCTCTGGTCAGATGGAGATCAATGTGTTGGGCTCACATGGAGTCCAGATGTTTGGTGTGAACCTGACCAGGACCACCACAGTGGATGCATGGTCCTGACAGTGAAGCACGGAGGTGGCAGCATCATGATGAACTGTTATTTACATTTGCCATCAGGGCAAATACTATGCTGTCCCACTTAGTAGTAATCTGATTACTGTGAGGGCATCCAGTTTGGAGTCAGTTGACATTCAGTGGTGCTGTGACTTGGAGAATAAACCTGGAACTCAGAAAACAGTAAATTTCTCGAGGACATTGTCATAAACAGGAAGTACAGGGAGGATTACCCCCGAGTATCCCCGAGGTGGGGGCGGAGTTACTGGGCTGTCTGAGGCCCTTAGAGAAGGGAAAGAGGGGCTTTCTGGGCGACGGCCTCATGGATCCAACCGTGGAAGCTGCCGGGTCGAAGGAATGCAAAGGCAGCAACGGGTTTCTGTTGCTGTCTTGACCTAAAAGATGAGAGAGAGTCGCAGGGTTGGCCGGTTACAGTCTGATCTGGTCTTTATCTACGCCAGCAGACAAGCGAGCTGCAGCAGCCTGAGCAGTTAGTGATGGACCATGAGGTTTAAATGGTGGATGAACGGATGAATGGATGAGCGCCACAATCTTTGAAACCACAGTCATTGAAGCTACGGATGAGTTTAGGAACCATGACTGGGAGATTGCGCTGCATGCAGACGCTGATGAAACACAGCCGCCCTGTGGACAAAAACGTTACTGCAGGTTTGACTGGAAGCTGCCTGGAAGCTCGAGGGAACAAAATGGCGTCAGATGGACAGCAGACAGAGGGGGAGCGAGCAGAGGCGGCAGGCTGGAGGTCTTTATTACCCCAGGTGTTAGCTCTGGCTCTCTCATTGGCCAACGCTGATCTCAGCAGCGAGGACCCGTCCCGTGATTGGCCAAAAGCTGTGAGGGAAAAAGACGGTTGAACTCTACAAAACTCAGACAAGTTTCAGATTCAAAGATGAGTTGCTACCTGTAGAATTAAAACCAGAAAACGTTGAGAAAGTTACATGTAAACACTGAAAGGTGAAATACTTTGGGTTGAAAACACAAAACAGGTCAAACTCTTTGCAGACGACACCCTCATTGCTGTAGAAGTCCTGCAGACTTTTCTTGAAGATGTCAAATTTAAAAAACAAGTGTTTTAAAAAGGTTTTAAAAGCTTCAGATAAATATGAGTGGAGGGAAAGTGAAAGTATCTCCTTAAACTTCATTAATCTTTTAAAAATATAAAACAGCATCTTAGTCCTAAAAGTGTGAATGTCGGCAGACGTCATTTCATTTTTGGACATTTTATTAATATTTTAGACAATAATGTTTCTTGAACATTATGATGATATCTTCTGACATTTTATTACCATTTTTGTAAAGTTTGTCAATATATATTTTGACATTTTCTTCTTCTTCAATATTTCATTAATATTAGGGGATGTTTTATCAATGTTTTTGGACACATATTAGTTTCAGTAATTTTCATAACAGCCAAACAATCATTGTTACTTTCATTATATCCAAAGAAAGGTTTGTAAATCCAGAGATATGAATCAGTGGAGGGAAGGTGAAAATTACCACCTTTAAGTTGGTTAAACTTTAACATTTAAAACAACAGTTTGTTACTAAAAGTGCGACTGTTTGCAGATGACAGTCTTATTTCCATTAAAGCAACAGAATCTTCTAATCAACAAAAGTTTGAACAAAGAGATCCCATGACACAAACTAAAAGCTGTTAGTAGGCAACTTTTCAGAGACACGAGGAAGTCAGTGTGATGATAAACAGCAGCTTGGTTCTGAAAGTGTGACTGTTTGCAGATGATGCTGTTCTGAGCGTCGGAGGTAAAGCAGCGCCACTTTTAACACCAAAGCTTGATATTTTTGACCACAAACTGACTTCAGTGGTGATTAAACTCCCAGAAGAAGGCGACAGAATAAGAAAACGAAAGTTTGTAGACAGGATTTACCAGCAGGGTTCTGATTCTTCTCGGGTTCACTAGAAGGCGTCTTAGTGGTCTGGACATGAAGCGATTCACCGCCGGAGGGGATTTTATAAAGAGGGGTGGTGACGGTGGGTGGGGCTTTGGTGGGCAGGAAGTGGGGGAGGGCAGGAGTGGGAGGGTCCGCTGGCCGGTCCAGGTCGGTTCTAACAGAGTTCCCTTTTTCTGGGGCGACAGAGGACAGAGGAACTGAGACCTCGGGACTCAAACCCAACAAGTTCTAAGCGGCTGATGCTTCATTAATTAAAGTAGTTCAAATTAAACGTCTAATTGTTCATTTGTCCTCTGATCATTTGCTGGAACCTCAGTTCTGCCAAATTTGGAAGAATCTGGTTTCATAGTCATGCTGTCTTTAAAAAGGCTCCAGAATGACACCATTTATCAGGAGGAAACTGTAAAAACATGAACAATTTAAAAATGCACAAAAATAAACTGTCCGTAAAAACCAACAACTGGTTCCTACAGCGAGTTCAAACGCAGTTCGGCTCCTTTGACGGGACTTCTGGTGTCGGTTTTTTGAAGACAGCAGCTCTGACTTCAGACAGAAAGCATCAGTTTGGTCCCGATGGTCTCAGAAACACAGAAAAGGAAACTTTAAACTCTGCAGAGCGACTTGTGTCGGAAAAAGCCGACAACGTCTGCGTCTGGACGACATGCTGACCTTCATGCAGACTGACAACAGAGGACAGACGGCTAGAGACAAACATCTCTGGAGACCGGTAGAAACGTTGAGCTGAGACAAAAGCAAACTTTAACCAGACCTGGTCCAACTTCAGAAGCTCGACTGACTGAATGTTTTCCATCAGCTGTTTGCTTCAGACACTCGATCCCTTCAAACTGTGACTCAAGTGTTTAAAACAGATTTATGGTGCAAACTATTGGTTCTAAAGGTTAAAACTGACAAACAACTGAAATACTTTTTAAAGAACAGTGTTTGAAACAAAACGTGAAATCAATAAAAACTGTCACTGAGCCGTAAAAGTAAATGTTGTCTTCTGGGTGCTGAGGCCAGAAATCTGCTTCTAATAGTCGCTGGAAGTTTGTTCAACAAAGATTCATGGACTAAATGAAGTTTATTGGTCATCTGAGCGTAAATAATTTGTTAAAGCTGGTCTCAGTTCAGAGCTGCAGAAGAAGAAGAAGAAGAAGAAGAAGAAGAAAAATGGCGGCTGCTGGACGCTGAAGCAAGGCTTTGGTCACATGACCTTTAGCGATTTGTCGTCGCGGTGGGCGGGGCAACGTAAACTTACTGGTGACCTCATCGGCGACATCATCGACTTTCTAACTGGGCTCATGCTAGCATGCAGCCAATCACAGCGGGCGCTGGCTGCAGGCCCCGCCCCCTCAGCGAAGCAGGTAAACTACAGAGCTACTGAGCGTCAGTGGCGTTACCGAGCGGCGCCGAGCGAGGGAACGTGGGCTGGACCGAGCTTTCCTGCCGACTCTCCGGCGGCGCTGTGGAAACAACACGGTCAGAAAGCAGAGAAGAAGAAGAGCCGCTCAGGTGAGAAACACCTGAACTCCTCCAGAACCTGCAACAGAACAACAGCTGGGGGATAATCACCGAAGGAGGTGCGCGGCGCTCCGGGGAAACCGGGCTTTTTCAGAACCGTGGACAGCCGAGGCCTCGTCCCGTTGTGAAGAGCTGCAAACAGGAAACACAAGAACGAGTGCTGCTGCTCTGAAGAACCAAAGAACCATACAGAACACATGGAAGGAACAAGACCTGGATCAGCTGAGGGGTCTGAAGGACGAGGAGGAGATAAAGGAGAAGAAGATGTAGGAGGAGTGAAACAGAAGTCAGAGAAGAAAAAGCAGAAGGAAGAGACAAAACGGAAAGAGGAGGAGAAAAATGAAGAGAAGAAGAAACAGAAGATAAACTGAGCAAGTCGTAGAAGAAGGAAGACGAGAAGATGAAGAAGAGCAGGTGGAAGCAGTCGACCTGGTTTCAGTGTTGAACAGTTTAATTCTCTGATTTCTTCACATCAAACTGCATGAAAGAAAACGAGCTCATGTTTAAATCACAGATCTTACCAGGACGAGGAGGGAAGAAGGCGTGAGGCTTCTGGAAAACACAGAACATCTACTTTACTCTCACGATCAGCGTCAGAGGAAACCAATAAATCCAACCAAGACAGACTACGGCTCCCAGCATGCACTGCAGCTAAACATCCAATCAGAAGGCTGGAAGTTCTCTCAGAAGTTGCTCCTTGAGTTCAGACATTTCAGTCGATTTTTACTTTGCTTGATTTCTTCATTTCATTGATTACATTTCAACAGGTTGATTTTATTTATTGAAGGCTGAGTAAATGTTTGGTAAAGAGGTTTAATACGACAGAACGCTGGCGGTCAGCGGCGACGTACCAGCGGCTTGGCCAGAGGATTGCGCAGCTTGTACGGCTTCTGAGCGTTTTTATCTGTAAGATCCAGAAAAGACGGAAGAAATCAGATCAGTTCAGAGAAAAGTCAGCGTGTTGGCGGCAAAGAAAGATTCAGTTTGAGCAGCAAACACCTGATAAAGAACTTCAATTACAAACGTAAAACGCTACAAACAAAACCAGTAAGAAACCGTCAGTGCTGAGCGTCCAGCTGAGGGAACACGGAGAACCTCAGACTTACTGCCCATGTTGGTGTTGTGGACGACTGGTTTGCTCCACATGCCGCTTCGGTCGTCCTTGTTGGATCGGACGCCGAACTCGTACGGAGTGTTGGGTTTCAGGTTGTCGATGACGGTGTCGCTGGTTGGGCAGGTCTGGTAGATCCACTTCCTGTTCCTCTCCCTGTAGCGGATGGTGTAGAACCTGAAGGACGAGAGCGCAAGCCACTGAGTCTGCTGTAGCTACTGAAGGTGTTCCTCAGGGTTCTACTGTCGGTCCTCCACACTTCAATTCATGTGATTCAAACTTATGTCTTTGACACCTCAATGGTTCGGCTGTTTGGTTTCATTACTGTCCAAACTGAAAACTCAGCATCTTGAGGTGTTCCTCAGGGTTCTATTCTTAGTCTTCTATATTTTTAAGTAACATAATTCAGGACACAAAACAGGCCTTTAAAAACTTGCAGCTGCATTAATTTATCTTTCTGATCTTGGTTTCTTTTCAAAGGTAAATTAGTGATGATGTAGCGTTGTCTTTGTTTGATGTCACTTTGTCGTATCATACGTTGCTTTCTAGTTGTTTTCCATAATATTGTAGTTGTTGTACATCTACTTATGTTGGTTTTCAGGAGAAGAAACCTCACATTTGTCACAGGTTCCTGATAAAATCAGTCCTTCAGGCGTAGCTGTCTTCCGTCTGAGCAACACTGAGACATTCAGAGAGAGACCAACTTTGTTTTTATGTTTCTGATCTTTAAATCATTTACACTGACAGAATAACGAGGCTTTATGCTGTCGAGCTGGATTCAGTCCCAAAGGAACAAACTCAAGTCTGATCTGCTGCTTGTTAAAGAAGCTGCTCTTCCAAGAACAACACTGATCAGGAGGCTGAGCTCCACTGTGATGCTGGGAGCTCAAGCCAAACATGATCATTGTGTTGCTGTAAAACATGTTGTGTTCGTGCCTGAATCCCAACAAACACCACAAACATTTTTACATGTTGTTCCTACAAAATGTGCAAATGAGGCGGAAAAAAGTGTTAAAAAGGCCAAAAGCTGAGCATGGAGCCGCTGAGTCGATGGGAAACATTCGGACGATCGTTACAGCAGAAACATCACGAAGGCGTCGATGGAATTCGTTGATGAGTGATTTGAGGCGAATGTTCTTCATCAGCGAAACTCTGCAGCTGCTTCACACTCGGATCAGACCAGCAGCAGCGTCTTCAGCCGTGTGGTTTCTCTCCGCCGTGACCTCAGCGTGGAAACATGGCAGCCCAGGAGGTGTTGTTGGCTCTGGCCTCCGAGCAGCCGAACAGTCCGATCCAAAGAAACATGAAGCTTTAGGGGTGGCAGAGGACGCCGGCTCAGGGTTTCCACCGACTCCTCCAGCTGGAAAAAACAGGCATCACAGGACGCCATGGAAACCAGCAGCAGTGTAGCATCACTCAGCGCTCAGGAGACTCGGGGACCAGTTAGAGGAGGCGTCATTCATCGAAGGCTTTCTGGACGTCCAGAATCAGGCAGACAACAGGAAGCTGGAGACCTTCATGTTCAGTCAACGGACGTCACAGACCGGTTTGATCAGGAAGCTGCAGTTAATATGAGCTTAAGACCAACACAGCTGGAC